TTTGGGAAGGGCGCTCGCGGGAACACAAGTCTACACCCGGTGCACTGTGCGAACGTATCCATTTGCCGATATGGTCACACAAAATTGGGGTTTGGAAAATAGTGGAGAACAAAAAAAGGAAATAATTTCAACAAGTAGCCGTCCCTGTCAAATTACCCAGATTTTGTTGAATAGAATGATTTTGTAAAAGACTTAGGACTGTAGTCAATTTTTGCAATTGATGAATGTTATCCACAAATCATGTTGTTTTCCCTAGAACCTTTTATGTTTTGTTTCGTTGATAATTATGGGAGTCAAACTCTGATTTCTGTTACTCGATTCAGTGTTAGGAATCGCGAGTTCGGTGATCAGTTAACTAGCATCGATGTTTTCGCACGGTAGTTTTACGGATTCGGTTTGATTGTTTAAGTTCAGATTCCAGTCAGTTGGTCCCTTGGACCTACTGTGAAAAATTGTCATCTCGCACAACTAGAGTCGTCTGGGCAACAAATCTAATTCTCATCCGATGCTCTACTCAGACTGTTACACATCGGTATTTCCGATCATCCATCATCACGTCGTTGAACGTATCGGATATTACCGGAAGGTGATGAACTTCTTGATGGAAAATGAAGCGTTTAAATGTCAAATAGGCTGCCTCCCTACCATCACAACAACGATCTTGACAAGACTACTCGGACAGTTTTTAGTATATATATATATGTATATATATATATGCATCAGAAAACAAAAACACAAACAAAAACTGCATTTTATGAAAAGTGATACCTTGTTCCTCATCAAACGTGGTTGGTTTGAGGGAACAGTTTAAATCATTCCCACTATCAACATGGTGTCATTGCAGATAAGTAATGGCCCATATCGCATGACTGCTTAATTGCCCTGTTTCTGCTTTTAATAAGAATTCTACACGCTTTTTGCCGTTGGATTGCTTGTATGCTCCCATTAAACTTCATAATCCGTTTAGTGATCCAGTATAAGTCGTACGTGCACTTTTCAATGGCATGTGCCATTTTTGTTCAACTTTCCAATCTTGCCTTAAGGGCATCCCACTCTGGAGGTGTACCAGATACACATTTCATTTCCATCAGGATCAACAGTAATTGAAAACAGAGGAGGGATAAGTTTAATGTAAACAAACAAATGAATTGGTTGAGTGGAGCAGTGTACCTCCTATTTCTCAGTGTGGACCAGCAAATACAGCCAAGGGGGAACACGGAGTCTCTCGCTCTATTACCCCACTGTTCGGCATTTGCATACACCTATACCGTCAGGCGCATACAATTGGGAGATATCCGCTGCGGTGGAGGAGAGTGATGAAACGGATGGTGATGAGGATGATAGGTCGGTACTTCCTGATTGACGAGGTCAATCAGATTCACGGTATAGAAAACCGGTCATTTGATCCAAAGCCCGTGAACCCGTAAATCCATGGGGCGGAATGAATGCATTGTATCATTCAATGTGTGGTTTGTGAACAAAACAACTAAGAGAACGATGGACGATTTAATCTGTACCTCCCTCGTCCCCTCAACTCGAATAATTTCCATTCGTGTTGAGGTTCTGTCTATTGCAACTTCACGTGAGACACGATGGATATCCCAAATGATCAATGAAAAAGTTGGTAAAACGAAATGCAATACACCGTTCATATAAATAATATCGCAAACCGAATTTAGCGTTTTGTTTAAAAACGATCTGATATGAGATAAGTAAAAACTGACTGTGGTAAGTTTGACGCGTGATCCAAACACTCCGTGGTTTGGACGAATACAGTGTTTTATGCCCGGAGCGAACGGGCGAGGTAGGGACATATGCACTGCGTACTAAGGACTAAGGGACTGAGTTGTGCACATGTAAACTGTGAAGAAGCTTGTGTTTTAAAATGCGCCAGCTATTCGTTAAATGTGCACGAACATCTGAGTAAAATAAGAATGATGAGGAAAACTATAATTTGAAGGTGCGTAGCACTTTGGCGAGAAGAAAACGCGACAGAGAAGTAGTAACCTAGTGTTTGAGCAAAAACAAGATATTTTTTCGATATGTGTGAGTCGTAAATATGACGCAGGTCCTGTCTTTTATTGAATAATTCAATTCATCGGTTTTGACTGCAGTGATTACAAGAATGTTAGGAACAAAATTTAAAGTCCGCTGTTATAAATTCGTTTGGTCAGTGTTCAAGAAACTCATTTTTATTGAAAAAGAAACATTTCCAATAGTGCCAGTCGAATAGCCGTTTGAGTCCTTTGTTCCTGCTTATGAAGGATTTCAACAATTGTAAACTGTTTCTAATTGTCGACAAAGAGACCTGTTTCGTTTCCAGTATAGCGAATTATTTTTCCGTCCCTGATCGGACTCAATTCCTGAGTTGTACGGTTGAGTGGTCGGAGAAAAACATGTTGAGCGCAAGGCTAGTCGGAATAAATAGATTAGGTGGTGGTGGCATAGTGGTTTAGTCGCCGTCACCGGCGTGCTCTGAACCCTATGGTCCGAGGTTCGAACCCTGCCACTGCCACCCGACTTCGGTGGTAGGCAGCTCTGC